AAAAAAACATCTTCTAAAATGTGGAGCAGCAGATTGCTTCTTTAGTGCAAGTTCAGTGCAGCTTTGCTGTTGTTGTCTGTGTGATATTAATACTTCACCCTCTTGTGAAAACACAGAGTACACTTTCACACTCAGCAGAAAGTAGTTTACATGTGGCAGACCACCTAGGAGGCTGCGATTACATCTAAAGACGCAGAGTATGCTCAGAAAAGCGGTGTGTGAATAACAGTGAATGAAGAAGAGCTGTTACTTTACATGTTTGAATACATGCTGGGGTCTTTGAGCTTATGATAAGAGACTTTTTTGTGGAGACTTATGCATATCATAAGTCATGATCATCTTAGTAAATACGTAATTTTCAAAAAATAGATACAGACACACTTTTAATGCATGTAATAAAGCTCATTTTAAAATCATTGGCACGTGTGTTGGGTTTAATTTAATTTATAGAAAGGGGTTGGTATAAGATTTCCTTACAGTGTTCCTTGGACTTTGCTAAGAACTCACGTGAACAGGCTAACTGGCAATCTGATTGGCCGACGTGTCTGCACGTGTACCGGCAAAATCCTTGACGGTTACGTAAGTGGAGCAGCGCAAGGGACTCACTGGATGGAGGGCTACAGTGTCCGAGTGGGACGACTGGAAGATAATTTATTACAAGGAAGGATCTGTAAACGATCAGTTAGGAAATAATGGAGGAAACAGTAAAATGTGCATATGTTGTGTTCGTTCCGTTCCGTTTTGTTTGAATTTATTCTGCAACAAAATATACAAAAACTACATCATAGATAAATAAACATTAGCATTTTCTGAAGAATAAAAAGGACTGTAAAATATACATTTTCGTGTTTGAAATGTTTAATTGTGCATAAGCTTAAAGTGGAGTAGGTGATATGATGACGCTTTAGGTCCTTTAGTTTGTAGTAGTAGTAGTAGTAGTAGAGGGGGAGGGGTGGATGGTGAAACACTCTTGCAAGAGTTGGATTTGGAGGATAACGTGGCTCTGAGAGCACTCAGTCCATCTGTATGTCAGCCTGTCTCCCCTTCTCATATTACAATTAAAGGGACAAAGAGGGGGAGGAAACGCGGTATAAACCCCTTAACCCGTAAAATGCGTGAGCGTATCCTCTACATTCTCCAGTAATGAGTGAGATGTATGTGTTACTCATTTTTAATCTCTGAAATATATCATTAAAAAAAATAATAAAAATGTTCATTTTAACACCTCAAGTGTGGTTCACTTGACTGTTTTATCATTTAGACTGTCAAAAAATCACTGTTTAAATGGTTTTATATTGGCTTAACTCTGTTGTAGCTTTCAAATGACGCCTTAAGGCGAGAATGAGAAAAGTAGGCAGGCAGTGAGCAGTTAGATACCCGGCTTTTTCTCAGTCCACGTGTGTTTCTTCCCAACTTTACCCGCCACCGTATTCCTGGAAATCAAGCAAGCGTATGTATCACTCCGCGCATAGTCCCGGCTTCAGTGTGCAATTAAACCAAATTGCCGTCACCCCCTTTTTTTCCGCGTGGACTTAATCAAAAGAGAAACCGACAGCGGTTATATCAGCGGTGGATATGATTGCCGTTAACGACACTTTGTTGGCTATTATGTTTTGGCGCGAGTTTAGCGGCGGCGGAAGGATCGCGGCGTACGCCCTGTATTAAACTCAGTGACCGCTGCAACCACACCTACTCTGGCTGATACAAGCGGCGGAGGAGAGAGGAAAAAGCAGGATACACCCGAAATGCTGCCCTGCACAAACTTCAATTTTACACGCAGAAAGTTTCACTTGGGCAGGATTTTCTAGTCGTTTTTGTCTCGCTGTGGACTTTGCTGGATAAATAGGGCATTTCTACTTTTTGTCTTTATTTTGAGTGCATTCTCCTGTAAGGACAGTTGAAGGTAAGACAGCTGTTTTATCAGAAACCTCATTGCACGCATGTGAGAATGGGGGTTTTTGTGCATTTCTTTGTATTTTTTTTTCGCTTTTGGTGTATCTTAGCGGTGCTTCAAAGAGGAAAAAATGACTGCCGGTTTCACGTGGGGTCCCGGCGCTGTTTAACGCATGCGGGATTTAAATGACCGTCAACGCCGGTTAACCTTTAAATCCTTTTACGGACTTTGTGCTTTTACGAACGGTTGACTTTTACTTTTCTTACGGAGATTCATTCTTAGACTCCGTGTAGTTATTTATATTCTATTTTTCTAGTGTGTCACCTTAGTGAATTTGGTTAAATGAATCATTGCACAATAGATTCTGCAGATGCATGAAGGCAGGACGACCTAACAGCAGATGCGTTCAAAAACTTAAGGAAATTCGTGCTCTTCTGTTTTCACATTCCAGCTGTGCTTGGTCTCAAGTATTTTTGGTCGAAGTCCTTCTTTCGTGCAAGAGATATTTTGGATACGTTAAGAGAGAGGGAAGTGTAGAATGTATTTAATATTGCTGCGTAATCGTTGTCTGCGCTCTGCATTTAAGTTGTAGCTCAGCTTTTCCCAGGCTGTGATGGTAAAGAAAGGCAGCCTTTAACTCCCGGACACACACTGCTGCTTTTGTTCTCCCACACTGCCTGCTATACATGCACATACCATACGACCCCACAGGAGTATTATAAGAGTTCCCCCTCCCCCAAATAGGACCATAGGTCAGGCTGTTCCAGCTGAAACGACCTTGGTTAAATGAGAAATGCTTTTTTTTCTTTTTTTTTTCAGTGAAACTTTTTTAAAGCTTTTGTTGTTAAAGCTTTTGGGAGTGGCTTCTAATTGAGTAGAACATCAACATTTAGTGTCCCATACATGTTTTTGCGTGTGTGTGTGCTTAATAGTGTATTTCTGAACAGAGTTGGGAAACTGTCCTTTGTGTTGTGCCAGAAAGCTGAGGTTTTTTGTATTTGTGTTTAACAGCAGCAAGCGGCCTAAGTATCGTAGCAAATGCAACGCACCCATTCCTTTAGACTCAGAGTATTGTTTTCTATGTCAGCAGTCAGCCTGACTTAATTTGCGAGTGTTTTATTATTCTGAGTAGGAACAATGTAAATGGTGGAAAGAGGTGTAAAGTTTCTGTGTGTCCCAGCTGTTCCTGTGATGTCATGGGTAGGGGGGTATTTTTTTGAGGAGGAGGGGGGGGCTTAAGGGCCTCCCCAGGAGCAGAGGGGCGGGGTTATAGTGATGTAAACACAGATAAAAAGGTAGAGCCTGCAGGTTGGGGACTCAGTCTAGAGGAACAGGTTAAAACTATCACTACAACAGGTGTTGCTGCTGCTGGGAGTAACCCAATAGACGCTGACTCTGCGCTGCTGTAAAGACACTACTGGATTAGCTTCTCTGGATTTTAACTTTATAAGCTCCACTACCTCTTAGATTTTTAATTTATACCGTTTTTTGTTGTCGTTGTCACAGATTTCAAACATGTTGGAAAGTTTCACTCAGTCGCAGGACTGGTTTTGTTCAGAGCCGCTGCTCTTTGATGACGAGTTCTGCCAAAGCCTGATGAAAGACCTCCAGGCATTACCGACACCTCCGCAGTCGCCCCCCATGAAGTCTGGGCTGGGTGGTGATAAGCCTCTGTCCAAGGAGGACCAGCTCAGCTACGTGTCGGATATTCTACTGGAGGACCATGACATGCAGCTCAACTGGCAGTGTGACTTCTTCCACTCTGATGCTGAGAAAGAAGGCGAGCTTAACCAGCCCTGCTCTGAGGAAGCTGAGGACTGCCTCTGGCAGTGCCTGGCAGCTGAGGAGAAGCTTGTCTCCTCACTACTCGGTTGCAGCCCCGTACTATCTGACATTGATACCCGCATCTTTGAGGAGATCGCCGGCTCCACACTTGACTGCCAGAGCCTTATGGAAGCTCCGGAGCCCAGTGAAGCCACATCAGACTACGGATCAGTTGGTGGCGAGCTGTCCACATATTCATCTAGCGACTCTGGTAAGTTGAATGTTTTCATTAAGTTGTAGTGCTGATGATCAACTCTTACTTTAATCTCAGTCCTGCTTTGTTGTTGCAGTGCTTATCAGTATAAACACCCACACCCAGAACAGCCTCACTGGCATTTCATTGACAATTCTGTTAATGTTTACTGGCACTAAGCCCAAACTGTTCTGTGTTCAGCTTATCAAGACAGCAGCACCCACCTTTAATCTGCAGAAGCCTTAATGGCTGAAGTGTGTTATTAAGGTGTGGGTGAGGTTTAAGATGTTGAGTGACATTAAGTAGATTAGGGGTTTTAAGAGAAATGTGTGTGTGACTCATGTTTAGCAGTGAGAGTTGTAGCTCAATCTATTACGTTTTTAATGAGTCATTTTACTACCTTAAGCCCTGCAGCATCTCTGGGCTAGAACGGAGATGGCAGATTGGCATTTATATTAGTTTTTCAGTGGTTACTATCTCTTAGGATATGATAGCTTGTTGTGATTTGGTAATTCCACTGGAGTTCTTTGTGGATGTTGTAAACTTTTAACTATTTCAAGTTAGATTTTCACAACTGACTGGTGTCCTTGGTGGGCTTTGTGCAGTCTATACGGTGTGTCCTTTTAAAAGTTGTGCCACAACCCACCAAGATTATGACATGGTCATGGGGGGCCAAAGAACTACTCTAATTTTTTTTCTTTTTTTTTTTTTTCCTTACAGAGGAGGAAATTGATGTGGTGACTGTGGTCCGCTGTTCCTCAAGTTCCTCCCCTGAGCCTTCATTGGCTGAACGTCAGCAGAAGCAAGAAGAGGAACAACGTGCTCGGCAGCGATACCGCTTTGAAATCCAGCTACAGCACAACTACGCTGCTCCCTGCCCTGCATCACCACCGCCATCAAACAAGCGTGCACGAGGGAGCGATGGCCCGTCACGCTTCCACTGCCTTTCACGCAGTTCTTCTTCATCAACCTCATCGCGTCACTCATCCCGAAACTCAACAGAGACTGAGGATGAGGAGGAGCGGAGAAAGACTCACAATGTGATGGAGAGGCAACGCCGAAACGAGCTAAAGAACTGTTTCATGCGCTTGCGCGACAACGTGCCTGAGCTGTCGCACAATGACAAGGCATCTAAGGTGGTGATCTTGAAGAAAGCCAGAGACTGTATTTATAGTTTAGAGGATGAGTCCCACAGACTGCAAACCAGGAAAGACAAACTTAAAGCCAAACAGGAAAAGCTGAAAGCCAGACTAGAGCAGCTCCGTAGGTAACGGACCAGGATTGGACATTTGTAGGTTTTCAGAGACTTCTTGGGTCGGGGAGGGCGGGGTAAGGGAAGAGACTTTGTAGATAGATGGGAGTAAGAAATAGCTTTTCCTGCTGGAAAGCGCACATACAGTTGTTTCTGTCATGTAGACTGTATATTCACATGCACACAGTTTCCCTGGACATGATATAACACACATTGCCTCATAATTAATCTTTGTCATGCCTTGACTGTAGAGTGTAGTGCATTTCTTTCTTTTCTTTTGGTCCCCCTGCCACCTCAATACACAAGACAAAGACAACATCCTGTCATTTCTTTTGCGTCATCTGTGGGAGTATGTCAAATGTCAATGATTTAAAGCAAAGTCTCAATTAGACCAATTAACTGGAAGCCACTGCAGTACAGTGTTGTAGTTTAATGAAACTTGAATATTATTTTCAGGATCTTTTATAGCCATATTGACTATGATCCCTCCATTCTCACAGGTCTTTGGTGGCTTTAGAGTTAATTGTGCTTTGTTAACTTTGACTTAATGTCATTACAAAGTTGTGCCTTCAGCCTTGTATGGCTTTTACGTTTGGGCTAAACACAACTATTACAGAATAATGTGTGTTAATCCCAACGCTGTACACTGCAATGCTTGGCCACAGTTCAGCTCAACACTAGTTCACTCACTGAGTCATGTGTTATCTGTTAAGCTCAAAGGTGAGCCATATTAAGTGGACTTCAGGTTTGTTTTTTGTTAAGACTGAACTGCAAGCTTTGCAAAGCAGCCAAAGTTTGGGCAAAATCTCTAACATTTATAGTGTGTGTGTGTGTGTGTGTGTGTGTGTGTGTGGGTTTTTTTTTTTTTTTTTTGTTTTTAATAAACAAAAACAAAAAGAGGACAGACTCAAAGTTTTAAATTAATAGTCGGAGGAGGCTGCAACAACCGCAATCATAGTCACTTGATTCAGTCATTTTTCTTTTGTGTCAGTTCAGGTGAGGAAGTGTCATTTTGATTGGTCAGTTGGTGGCCCTTGTACTTGGATCAAATTTTTAAAAAATGAACAGTGTTTAAAAGAAACAAAAATCACACTACTTATGATTTGAAATAAATATTTTATGTAAAGACTTATCAATCAACAAGGGCCACTCACTAATAAACATTCCCTGTTTTGAAAGGTTGGATTCACAGGCTGTTCTATACTCTCGCTGTAACACACAAAAATAGTTTATAAGACATGAACATGTCCAGCAGAATCCTCGACTGTCAGGTGATTAATTTGCTGATGTTGCTATTAAGGTTAATAATGAAATGTGCAGATGGCCTAATTAGGTTTTGAAGTAAGTTCTTCCTAAATCAGTAAGTATTTGACATGTTGATAGCCAGAAGCAGTTTTGCCTTGAGATGCGTGCTGTTCAGGACACTGTCTCCTTTGTTTTCAAACCAGTTCTTTCAGGGAAGCTTAATTGTATTTCTGCAAATATTTAACTGTTCATTTCATAGAAATTAGTCATATAACTGCCTTGTAAACATAAAGTGAGCAGGGATGACTCAATTTTCTTTAGGAAACCTACCTCCACCTGGCTGCAATCGGGCCTGTGATGTTTTTGTTTGCCTTTTGTTCTGTTGTACATATTGTACAGTTTTTGTTCAAGTGTACATTTAATATTGTAATATAACTTATTTTAGTCTTATTCATTCTCTGTTGTGAATGCACTTTTTTTTTTTTGGTTTTTAAATAAAATTTAAAGTGTAAATTAGAGATGAAGTTTTGTGTGGTAATTTATTATGTGTTGTCAGAGCACTTACCAGAAGGGACAATTTGGGGGGGGGGACTGTGACATGCTATTAATGTCTCTTACAAAAAACCACTTGATCAATATACCTGGAACTTTTTATTGCCTAAGAGAACATACAGTGGGGCAAAAAAGTATTTAGTCAGCCACCGATTGTGCAAGTTCCCCCACCTAAAATGATGACAGAGGTCAGTAATTTGCACCAGAGGTACACTTCAACTGTGAGAGACAGAATGTGAAAAAAAAATCCATGAATCCACATGGTAGGATTTGTAAAGAATTTATTGGTAAATCAGGGTGGAAAATAAGTATTTGGTCAATAACAAAAATACAACTCAATACTTTGTAACATAACCTTTGTTGGCAATAACAGAGGTCAAACGTTTACTATAGGTCTTTACCAGGTTTGCACACACAGTAGCTGGTATTTTGGCCCATTCCTCCATGCAGATCTTCTCGAGAGCAGTGATGTTTTGGGGCTGTCGCCGAGCAACACGGACTTTCAACTCCCGCCACAGATTTTCTATGGGGTTGAGGTCTGGAGACTGGCTAGGCCACTCCAGGACTTTCAAATGCTTCTTACGGAGCCACTCCTTTGTTGCCCGGGCGGTGTGTTTTGGATCATTGTCATGTTGGAAGACCCAGCCTCGTTTCATCTTCAAAGTTCTCACTGATGGAAGGAGGTTTTGGCTCAAAATCTCACGATACATGGCCCCATTCATTCTGTCCTTAACACGGATCAGTCGTCCTGTCCCCTTGGCAGAAAAACAGCCCCATAGCATGATGTTTCCACCCCCATGCTTCACAGTAGGTATGGTGTTCTTGGGATGCAACTCAGTATTCTTCTTCCTCCAAACACGACGAGTTGAGTTTATACCAAAAAGTTCTACTTTGGTTTCATCTGACCACATGACATTCTCCCAATCCTCTGCTGTATCATCCATGTGCTCTCTGGCAAACTTCAGACGGGCCTGGACATGCACTGGCTTCAGCAGCGGAACACGTCTGGCACTGCGGGATTTGATTCCCTGCCGTTGTAGTGTGTTACTGATGGTGACCTTTGTTACTTTGGTCCCAGCTCTCTGCAGGTCATTCACCAGGTCCCCCCGTGTGGTTCTGGGATCTTTGCTCACCGTTCTCATGATCATTTTGACCCCACGGGATGAGATCTTGCGTGGAGCCCCAGATCGAGGGAGATTATCAGTGGTCTTGTATGTCTTCCATTTTCTGATGATTGCTCCCACAGTTGATTTTTTCACACCAAGCTGCTTGCCTATTGTAGATTCACTCTTCCCAGTCTGGTGCAGGTCTACAATACTTTTCCTGGTGTCCTTCGAAAGCTCTTTGGTCTTGGCCATGGCGGCGTTTGGAGTCTGACTGTTTGAGGCTGTGGACAGGTGTCTTTTATACAGATGATGAGTTCAAACAGGTGCCATTCATACAGGTAACGAGTGGGGGACAGAAAAGCTTCTTACAGAAGACGTTACAGGTCTGTGAGAGCCAGAGATTTTCCTTGTTTGAGGTGACCAAATACTTATTTTCCACCCTAATTTATGAATAAATTCTTTACAAATCCTACCATGTGATTCATGGATTTTTTTTTCACATTCTGTCTCTCACAGTTGAAGTGTACCTCTGGTGCAAATTACTGACCTCTGTCATCATTTTAAGTGGGGGAACTTGCACAATCGGTGGCTGACTAAATACTTTTTTGCCCCACTGTATCTGTTCATACCCATTAGTATGAGCTCATCTTTTATTGTAAATAACAGTCTATTTTACAAGAGTGCCCTGACAAAGTAATATAGTAAAGTCTGTGGAAGTTGCATAGTAATACACATATACAGCAAAAATGCACCAGTATAGATGCTAAAGAATGAAATATTTGTTAGCTGGTTCCCGGAGAAAGGAAGAGTAAATCTGACTTCTAAATAAATCTGGAAGTCGTCTGCATAAACATGGAAACTCAAATGATGCTTCTAGGACAGGGGTGTCAACCTTATTTTATATTGCGAGCCACATATAGACCACTTTGATCTTAAGCAGGCTGGACCAGCAAAACTCTTGTTTCTGTCGGTGTCAGGAAGCTTTTTTTTTTTTTTTTTTTTTAATTGTCATAAAAACCAGATTTCTATAGTAGAAAGTGGAAAAACAAACATCTGTTTTTCACAAAGAGGTTTTATTAGAGACGTAACTCGTTTTGCAATTTGTGAAAGTTGAAATTTTCTTTTGTACTGGATAGTAGAAATTAGGCTTTCAGCTGTTATTGTACTCACCAGTAGACTGGTGTGTAATAAATAAGCAAATAATGCACGAAATAGGGATTTTTGATGGGGAAACTAGTCTTTCGAAGCACACAGAGAGAGCTATGAAGGAAGTGCAATTTTATGGTGGAAGCAAGAGAGCCAACGTAAGTGGAAATTCATTAAAGTCTTTTTCAAAAGTGAAGTGTAGCGTAGTGATCTTGTTTTGCCGTTCAATGAATTTTGGTTGGAGAGTGACGAAATCTGGAGTTTCAGAATTTGTGAGATGTCGGTTTTCCGCACCCGATTGGCATTTCCTGTACGTGGGATCCACGCTTTGTGTTTACATCTGTTTGTTGTTTTAGCTTTTGGTGGTCATTGAAATAATGTTGTAAGCTTTTAGCTAAGATTCTGACTTTTCTGTGGATACCACATGTGTATGTTTAAATAACAGATCAAGTTAAATTAGATGCTGTCCCTCTTCCTTTCATACAATTGAAATGTGTTGTGGGAAATGTAGTTTGCGATCACTGTGTGCTTTTAAGCAGCAAACGATAAACTTATTTTAAGATAATCATTGAGAAGTTCACGCAGGACACATAAAACGGCATGGCAGGCCAAATTTGGCCTGCAAGCTTTGAGTTTCAGACATGTGTACTAGAGGATTATTTTATTGTATTAGCAGGTGCACCTTGTTAGCATTAGCTTAACAATCCATTCTCTTGTGTAAAAATACTCTCTTGAGGCCAAAAAACCCCCAAAACATTTTTCAACAACTTTAATGCTTGAAAACAGAATCCAGAAATCAATTGGTGATGTCATAGATTTTACATCCATCATTTATTTACAGTCTATGGTTTTAGCATAAACTGTTATCATAAAAAATGTTCTAGACAATATGCAACCCTAGACAAATAAGGAGTAACATGTGTTCCACTGTTTTTCTGGCATTACACTGGTTTTAAGGTTTTACTAACCCTCCTGTATAGCCCCACACTTATTTTTCCTACTTCTCCTCTTCCCTATCTTCTATACTCTCCATTCCCAACCATTTAGGTGAGCTAGGCTTAAACTGGCAAGACAAAGAGATGTGTGATCTGTGCAAAGGTTTTAGGCAAGTGTGAAAAAATGCTGTAAACAGAATGTCTTCAGAAATATTAATGATTGTTTATTTGCCCCAAATGTATTCTGCAGCAGGACAACAGACCCAAACATACAACCCATCGTCAAAATAAAAAAGAACAAGAAGTACTGGAAGTGATGGTATGGCCCCTACAGAGCCCTGATCTCAACATCATCGAGTGAGATGCTCTTTTGAATTCAAAGGATGGTCACACCAAATATTGATGTAATTTAGATTTCTCTTTTATTCATTAACTGTATTTTGTTGATTGATGAAAATAAAAGATTAACACTTCCATTTTTAAGAGCATTCTTTGTTTACAGCATTTTTCCTCACTTGCCTAAAACTTTTGCACGGTACTGTAGTACTGGGCTAATCAGCCAGAATGAGTAAAACTCCTGTTAAATGTACAGGGTTTTTTTTTAAAGTAACAATTTGTCCAATTTTTAATACTGGCAAAATATCAACAAGAACGTGAGAATTATACTTGTCCCTATGATGACCTGCGTGAGATGTTATTCCCACTGCGTCTGGCTTGCAAATTCATAGTCCTTCTTCTGTTTAAAAATGCTCACCCTCACACACCTGTCACTCTCCCGTATCAACGGTATCTCCAGACCGCTCCCATGTGTAGAGATATGCAAACATTTTCCCAGGGCAAAGTGTGCTCAGCGGCAATTGTATGTTGTGCAATCTGAGCTCATTCCATGTGTTGCATGTGCAATCCGTGGACATGTGCCCAGTAGGTGTATGTGTGTGTGTTAAACTCCCTTGAGTAATCTCATCCCTTCTATATTCACTTTTGGGGAAAAAAAACACAGTACACTTAATTTAAAAATCACATTATATTGAGTAAGAGAGTAATGTAAGGATAGCTGTAATGTGTGTGAACATATGTTCTTTATGATCACTAAAAAATAAACATGATTTAAAAATGCTCACCCTCACACACCTGTCACTCTCCCATGATTTAAAAATTCCATTTTAGGGCAAAGACGGGGGTTGAAGGTAAGGGTAATTGGTACTATGGAAAAAGTGTACAGAAAATAAATGTAAGTCAGTGTAATATCACATTAAACCATCGACATGCAGCTTAGTTTACAGCTATGTAGGTCAAGGTGAACAAGTGGTTTTGTGACTGTCAGGTGGATCAGATAGTGACTACAAGATTGGTCAAGATACCATAAAAGCCTTTTTATCTGCAACGGCAGATTAGGCTTGTCGTTTTAAGAAAGGGAAGCCTGATAAGTCACTCAAACAACATTAATATACACAAGTAATTATTTCAGCTTTCCTGTTCACAGTATTCAGTTAAAGGGACGTAAAAGTGAGAAGGTGGAGCTTTGTGTTTATATTTTTCCTGCTAAGATTGGGGTTAAGATTATCTTTAATCTGATTGCTGATTACCACAGTGTATTTCTCTGAATGAATCATGGAGGTTTATAGTGCAGTCTGAAGTAATAGCTCTTTCAGCTGCTTACCTGAGAATTGACTGGTCAACCAACAACTGACCAACAGACCAACCTTCAGTTCTTCACACAAATATACACATCGCACATGGTCAGCTTATGCTTCTGATACTTTTTTCCCACGGTATCTT